GGTAAGTTAGTTGTGCAACTTCCAGGGCATGCCCTTCTGCTGCCTGGAAGGTGTATGGAGAGGCACAGAGTCGCTGTCTCAGGTTTGAGTTGGCAGCCAGGTGTCTAAGGCAGCAAAGCAATGAAAAAGAAAAACCTGATCCTGGAAACCTTGGAGCTGCCTATTAGCCTGGAGCCGTTTGGACTGTCACAGGGAAAAAAAATACACATGTGAATTATTTAAGTCATTGTTGTCTATGTGTAGTAACAACATTCCTAAACCTGAACCTGGAATGCTAATAGAAGAGAAAACCAAGAACCAGCTAAAAAGATTGTTAAGAAAAATCACAGGCCCATAATGGAGCCACCTAAAGTTAGGAACCCCATGTCAGTAAACCACGATTTAATACCTGATCTAACTGCACTATCAACACTCTCAGAAATGTAACCTTTAACCAGACGACTGGGATTTCCTGGAGGAATTCCCTGGAAGACCCTTCCCCCTTAGGAAGGGAACCTTGCCTAACAATACATTACTTGCTAATAAATTTCCTTCTTTTTTTTAATGCTCTCTTTGCCTTGAAAAACCTTTCTTTCCTGTAGCCTTTGAAGTACCCCTTTAGTTGCTAGAAGGGCTGCTGCCCAATTCATGAATCGTTTAATAAAGCCAGTTATATCTTCAAATTTACTTGATTTAATATTTTTTTAACAAGAGTAAAAAGGAGTTGACAATGGCAAGCAGATTTACTGGAGGAAGGAATGGGCAGTTGGGTAGTCAGCCTTCTGTTAGTTTATTCTAACTCTTAGAACATGTAATGTTATAAATTGACAATTGAGTAACAGTGGTCTTGGCAATGAAGGCTGAGAAAATATCAAGAAACAGAGACCAAGCTCTTCACACCATTGGACCACAACCACCCACAGAACATGATTTCAAGACATTGGGTGCGCACATATGCCCCCACCCCCACCTTTCAGTTTAGGCACAACCTTCTGAAAGCCTCTATTAAATACAGATATATTACCTAGAGACATAAGTCTCTGAAGGAGCAGCTTTATATCTAGAACTTAGGGTGTGTGGGGTTTTTAAGCACTGTTTTATTCAAATCTCTTAAAGCACTTTAAAAAATGATAGACAGAATTCAGGTTCTCAAACTGCCTAAGGCATCTGAGCACATCAATAAACAATCTTCAACAAGTAAATGCAAAGTAAAGTTTCACTAATGTGACAGTTAGGGAAAGGAAAACAGCTTTGACCAGTTGGAATACAGAAACTTAAAATGCTTCCCACGTGCCCTCTCTGTTTGCCTCCAAAAAGAGGCAAATTGATAGCATGTTCCTTTGCTAATGAAAAAAGTCCAAGATACATACAGAAAGGGGAAGTATCTTGCTTGAGGACTCAAAGCAATAGTAAAAACACAAGCCAAAACAAAAGAACAGCCTGGAGATTTGAGAATGTGGGAAGTAGCTTTAATCTCTCTTCCTCCCCAACTTTAATTGGAGGGTTGGGGCTAAGAGGAAGAGAAAAGTGATTTGGGGAACAAATATGGATTCTCAAAGCCCTGAGAAGTTATGCAGTTGGAGCTGGACAGCAGGCATCTGAGTAAAGTTTTATGCAAAAGAAAGGCAGACAGGCAAAATATCATTGTTTCCAGGATCCTGAAATACTGAGTTCAGTGCTTCCTGTGAGGAAAGTTAACTAAGCCAGAACTCCATCCAGCTGCACCTGGGTGTGACCTCCATGTCCACCCACAACCACACTTGTGCTCTTGGGAGAGTCACTTGCTATTTGTGGCCTCAGTTTCCTCAGGTGCAGAAGGGGCGCCTTAGGATGCTGACTCAAGGGGCCACTGGGAGAAGCCAAGCACACAGCTGAGCACCTGGTTATCAGAAGTGCTCAGTCAGCGTTAGCTTAAAACAAAGTGTCACGCAGCAATGAGTGTATTTATTTAACTATGGCACCTTATTGTTTGTTAACCTCAAGTTATTAAGCATATGCTCAAGATTAGTCAGCAGCCAGGTTCTGACGTCAATGATTTAGTTGCCTGTGTCTCAATTCTTGGTACTTCTCTGCTTTCAAGCCTTGGGCACCCCTGCAAAATCTCAGCTGCTCCAAGGACAAAATTGGTTTCTGGCACAGGTCTCAACCTGCCCTCCCCTTCCCCTGAGTGGACTGGGCAGGAGGACCTTCAACTCTGATTATGTGATTCAGGGGCCTTCCCCATCCCTGCAGACATCCTTCTTGCCTCTTTTTGAGCCCATTATTTCTCTCAAATCATGAGAAATATTTCAGGGCACGTTCATTCAATAATCATTTCTCAGCATCCACCACATGCCAGGCTATTGTACTGCAGAGAAGCCAGAGCTGGGATCTGCATGCAGCTCAACAGGGCAGGTGTCGGCCACACCAGCCAGGGGGAATGCCATGAGGTCCAGGCAATAGTGGGGGCTGTCCTGCCCTGAGTGTCCAGAGAGGCTCCATGCTTAGAGCACGAGGCACAGATGTCATCCAGTCCCCCTCCACGGGGCAAAGGCAGGGACGGGCCCACAGAAAGGAAGGGGTTTGCCTAGGTCACACACCAAGGGCTATGCCCTGCTGCCTCCCCACTTCACTGTAAAACTGCCTGTGCCTCTGGCTGATCAGAGTGAGGACCTGGCCTACAGGTGGGGGCACTGGAGGAGAGGGAGGCTGTCTGACAGAACGAGGGGGTACCTCCTCAGGACAGAAGGGCTGGTGGGACAGGCAGGAGTTTCAAGTCAGTTCCAGAAGGGTAGGGAGGCTAGAGGCTGAGCAGACCACCCCTTCCTAGTCTGGGGAGGTCGGTGGCTTGGGGAAGCTGGCCAGACAGGGAGTGTGACTGGAGAAGTCTGAGGGGAAGCCGTGTCTTGAGATGTGTCCACTCTTTTTTTGTAAGGTATTATTGACATACACTCTTACAAAGGTTTCACCCATATTATTGTGTTCCCGCCCATATTATTGTGTTCACCCATATTATTGTGTTCCCGCCCCATGCCCCATTGCAGTCACTGCCCATCAGTGTAGTAAAATGCCACAGATTCACTATTTGGAGATGTGCCCACTCTTGATTTAGAGATTACACTGTGCTGAAGGGTCAGCCCTGTGTAAAAACGAGCCAACTGGAGTGTCACTTGCAGTGTGAGCAGGATTTTCCCCACAATCTGCCTCCAGATGGGAAATCCTGCCATCAGAGGAACTCTCCCTTATCAAATAAGTCCTGGTGTGCAAAAGCTCTGTGTCCCCAGGACACACTCTAAGTCCTGGAAAGTCACTAGGTGGCCAAATAGGGCAGAAGATGGTCCTGCTGGCCTCCCTGTGCCCAATGCGGTCTGCCCCTATGGTAGACCCAAAAGCCTGCCTTGGGCTACAGCTCTAGATCCCCCCACCTGCATGGCTACCCAATGTTCCTGCTCCCCTGACTTATCTCTGAGGGTAGAGTCTCCAAACCCTTATCCCTCAGTTCCTTTCTCTAGATCCCATAACTTCTCCCGCTGGAAGTCCTCCCTGATTCCAGAAGGCCTGAGAGACAGTCAGGCAGGTACTGAACCTGGGCCTGTTGGCTCAGCCAGGATATTCCCAGCTCAGGAAGCCCAGACAGGACAATTCCAATGCCCACACAGGGTCTTCGGCAGGCCTCTGGGGCTCTGAATGCCCTGTTTCTTACCTCCCATACCAGCTTTATACTAGTTCCTTCAACATCCCAGGTACTTCAGGGCTTTGCACATGCAGCTCCCTCTCCTGGGCTTTCTCTTCTCTCCGTTCCTCTATTTTCAGCTACTTATACTGGTCTTCCTTGACCATAACATTCTATAAGGCTCCCCAACTGGTCACTCCATCACATATTTTTAGTTTTCCTGTCTGTTGACTGTGTCCCCATAATATTATGCTCTGCATGAGAGCAGAGGACCTGTCACTTTGCCCACCACTGTATTTCAGAACCTAGAACAGCCCCAGACACTGGGCAGGTTCTCAGGAAGTACTTGTTAAAAGGCTGGCTCACTGCCCCACAGTGAAGGGGTCTCTTTGGGGATGTTAGGAGTTGTAGGGGGTTTAGGTGGGACCAATCAGATTCCTTACCCACACCCCCACACCCTACCTTCTACTGAGCACTGAACACCAGGCACTTGACTTTTCTACATCTTCAATTTCACAACACCACTCTAGGTAGGGAGATATTATTACCTGATGAATAAATTTCCACCATGACTGTATTCTCTCTGTAGGAAGGTAATTTGGTAACACTGAAATTGAAGTCAATCAAAATGTAAAATATACAAGCCTTCAACCCAGCTATTCCAATGCTGGAAGCCCAGCCTGCAGCTATTCTCACAGGTGTGCAAACAGGGTGTGTGTGTCTAGGGGTGTGTATCATGAAACTGTATACAATTAATTAACTCCTAAGAAGCAACCTAAATACCTATCAATAGGTGGTAAGGTATATAAATCATAGTATATCTGTCAAATACAATGCAGCTCTTAAAAGAATGCATCAATCAGCAAGATCAATAGCTAGGTGAAAAAAAAGCACAAACTGAGTGCATGGTGTGCTGTTATCTATTAAAAGGGGTTGTAGATACATATGTATGCTTTTGTACATTCATAGCAAATTTTGAGTCAATAGACAAGAAATGCTTAATAGTGGTTGCTTCTTGGGATGTAAAACCAGAAAATAGGATAAGGACATTAATCATTTTTACTGGAGACTTTAAAACATTTTCATGTTATAGCTGTTTTTTCAAATTTTTATTTTGGGAATAGAGAACCCAAATGTAAAAGGTACAAAAGGACTTAAAGTTTCTCTCCAGCACCTTGTTCCCTGGCCACCAGATCCTCTCCCAGAGGTGACTACCATACTAATTTCTTGGTTGGATGGTAAAGTCTTTCATTCCATTTTTTTTTTAAGATTGAAAAAGGTTTTAAGACCAGAGAGTGCCGCTCATGCAGAAGCACACTCAGGGGCCAGCCGCAGTAGGCCCGGGGTTGGGAGCACGTTGGTTACTCACAGTTCAGGATGATCTGCGCTGCACGATAGAGCTGCAGGCGGCACAGGAGGTCCACCAGTTGCTGGACTGTGGCCTGCCGCATCCCCCACCACCACAGCAGCTCCCGGGTGATGCTCACGCCCTGCACCCGTTCCATTGACTTAATCTTCCGCAGCTGGGTAAAGTCTGTGATCACGTAGGAGGCTGGAAGGCAAGTGAGAGATCCACTTAGTCAGAAATACAGGTCCTCTTTTAAGAGGGTCACTGAGCTAGCCAGGCTTTGTCCTTAACATCTTCCCCATCTACCCCTCCACCATACCTGAAATTCCATCAGCTGGATCCACAGGCAGCCCAGGTTGTAATGTTGATTTCATGTAATAACCCTAGCGACTGGCACATTAACACTTGAATGTAAATGCCAACTTCAAGGCCACACAGGACTTTGGAGAAACACCATGAGACAAGAGGGTCAGAGCCTTGAGCTTTAGCTGCTGATTTGCTATGGGAAAGTCACTCACCCAGTGGGGGCCTCAGTTTCCTCGATTGTAACAGGGCAGGTAGTAGAACTTTGCCTGCTTCCCGTTCTACAATAGATGTCCCATGGAGGCTGGCAGTTTTATCTGTTCCATTCACTATTGACCTCCAGAAGAGAACAGTGCCTGGCACAGAGTAGGGGCAGGGCCAGGACAAGGGGAGGCAAGGGAAGTGCTCAGGGATCAAAAGGAGGCTGTCACTGTGGGGGCTGATCCTGCACTCACCACAGCTGGAGAGTGGGTGCCTCCTTAAACCCTGGGCTTCTCATTCTCCTCATCCTTAAGTCCAAGACTGGCAGGGGGAACTGAAAGAATGAAGGAATGAAGCCATGGCCTTCTATCCTCACAGAACTGCGATAAGGATCAAGAAAGCCTGTGGGTCTAGGCACACTCTGCCAGCTCTAAAGCAATGTCCAAAATTTGCAGGGGGACTACCACTGGCAATACTAAAAATAATGCATTCCTTCTTCTCATTTTTTATTGTAAAATTATTGGTTGTTCACTAATGAAAACTTGGAAAATACAGGGGGAAAAAATAACAGAGTAAGTTACATGGCATCCTGCTAGGGTACTTTCCCTTTCTGAACCTCTCTCCAACCCCAAAGCATAGGTGTGGCTCTGGAAGCGGTGGTTGCCAGACTAAGATTTTGTACCCTGCTCTCACAAATTAATATTATACCTTAAGCATTTTCTGAGTTGTTACAAGCTCTTCATAAATGGCATTTTTTTGAAGTATTCCATTGAGCTTCCAGAAGTGAGGGAAGAATTTTTTTTTTAACTAGAAATAAAATAATCATGCTTCAGTTCCAGGATTTCAGAAATCACAGAGTAGGAATCCACGTGAATTCATAGTCAGGTCATTAACATTCAACAAAATATTACTGAGCACAACTGTGCTCCACAACTGACAGGCTCTGGAGATACTACGGCCAGTAAACCAGAAGCCCATGGAGCTTTTCTGCTTGCAAACGACAAACATAAGTGAACTGAGTGGGGAAAGGGAGGCAAGAGATGAAGCTCAGAACTATATATGAAGGGCCTAGAATGCCAGGATACAGAGTTTGGACTTTATCCTAAGAGCCAGGGACACCAAGGAAAACCTCAGAGCCAGGGAGTGATAGTGATCCCAACTGCACAAACCCCCTCCCGTCTGGAGGAATGGGGAAGGTTGTGACAGCCTTCAGCAGAGAGAGAGTCTCTGGGAGAAGTTGCACTGTTAGGTACAGAAAGTTGCAACTTTAGTCACTGGAAACCCCAGGCCAGATTCCTGGTCAATGGGAAGTGATGTCAGCAGGGCCAGAGGCTGCTTCCAGCAGCAGAGAGAAGAGGAAGGAACACCTCCCCCACACCCCTTCTCTGCACACAAAGCTACTGCTCATGAGTCCACCTTCCATTTGGGAGGCAGCATGATACAATGGGAGAAACAGAAACCCAGGGCTGACCCTCGTGCTCCAAGGCAGCAAGAACCAGGTGCAGCCCCTTCCCTCCACCGGTTGCACTTTCCGCACAGACGATGCAGAGAAATAGGAATTAAACTCTGAGACCTGATTGCAGTTTGCACATTTAAGCTCCATGAAAGTGACTTATCTTAAGGTCTTGACCGATCAGCATTTAACCAGACCCTTAAAACAGGGTCAAGACAAGATAGAGATCTTGAGGGTATGAGTCACTGTTGAGGGGGCCCTGCTAAGTCCTCAGCTCTTTTCTCAACACACGCAAGTAACCTGGGTCATTACAGAACATGTGGAAAATGGGAAAACTCAAGGCCCCATGATCATCCCACTTGGAAGACCAAGAAAAGTACTGATTATACTTTTGCTTCTAATCTTGAGACTTTTCTAGAAACACAAAAATATAGCTTATGTCAGCAGGCCAGTACCATGGTGGTTCAGGGCCCAGACTTTGGATTTGGAGTTTCAAATCCTATGTCTGCTACTTATTTGCTGTGTGCTTGGGGAAGGCCCTATACCCTCCCTGTGCCTCAGTCATCTGCAAACAAGTATAACAGCAGCACCTGCCTCAGAGGTTGTTTCAAGGATTCAATTAGTTATATGTATAGAAGCACTTGGAATAATGCCTGGCACACAGTAAATGTGATATAAATATTAGCTGTAATTGTTAAACCATTTGTACCCTGTTTTTAATCCTTATTGGCTCACACCATGTGGATACCATTCTTCCAGGTCTGAGCTCCTGAATCCTGCAGGAGTTAACCTGATGTAGCAAAAACCTTGCCCATCATTAAAGCCCTGTGGAGCAGAGCACAGACCCCTGAAATGATCCACCTAGGGTCCAAAGCCCCTTGTCAGAACTAATGGGACTCCTCCCTGGCTAAAAGAAGGGGAAAGAGCTAAGGACCTTCCCCACCATCCTGTCCCCTAAGCCTCTCAGCAACTCATCCACATTTTACAAACAAGAAACTAAAAGCTCAGAGAGAGAGGCAGTCAACTTGCCCAAAGTCACTCAGTGGGACAGGGACAAAGCATGGCTATGTGCAAACGTTGGCACATGCATGAGTGAGCAAGACAGGGAGCAGTCCAACAAAGGAACCCCTGTTCCCGGGCCCCTTGGAATACACCTAGGGTGGGTGACACTGTAAGAAGCCTGATTTCCCCCAAGGGTAAAAATGGATGCAGGTGCAATCACAGGGACCTAAGAAGAAGGCAGCCACATAATCCACCTACAACTGTCAAATCCAAAGAGTGTGCATAATTGTGGCTGTGTGATTTTCTGAATCACTTTGAGGATCTTCCCATCCCTATTCCCCAGTACTATTCCCCAGCACTAAAGGGCTATCATTTCTAAAATGACTTCTAGAAGCCAAGACTGTTTAGGACTAGAAGGACAACTGCAATTACTCATTCTGTTGAAGAGGAAACTGGAGCCCACCATGACTTAGCAAGGACCAGGTAACTGCAGAGCATGACTGGCTCCCAGCCCAGGGATGCCCAACCCAGCATGGAGAGCTGGGCTCAAAGCTGTCTTTGTGGGGCAAGAAGTGAACATGCCCCATGTCCTCACCCTTCCTATATCCTTCAGCTGGTTATTCAAGTCACTGGGTGCCCACTGGCCAGGCACTGTCCTAGGCTTTGGGTATAGGAGCGGCCTGGAGGGTGAGGTCCCTGCCCTGCTGGTGCTTACACTCTAGGGGAGAGACAGGTGTAAAGAAGTAAGAACAATGTAATGTCAAAGCACGTTAAGGGGAATAAAGGAAATAAAACACAGTGACAGGACAGAGTAACAATGGGGGCAGGGTGGGAATCTCAAACAAGGTGACGTATGAACTGAGACCTGAAGGACCACAGCACCACCAAACATGTCAGTGTCCTAAACCCCAAAACCTGTGAATACGGCATCTTCCTTGACACAAGGGACTTTGCAGATGGGATTACAGTAAGGGTTTTGAGATAAGATTATCCTGGATGATCTGAGAGGGCCCAATGTAATCACAAGGGTCTTTGTAAGAGGAGGCAGGGGTGTCAGAGTCAGAGAAGATAAGATGACAGCAGCAGAGGTCAAAGAGAGAGACTGCAAGACGCTACACTGTTGGTTTTGAAGGTGGAGGGGGGAGCCTAGGAATGTGGGCAACCTCTAGAACCTGGTAAAGGCAAGGAAATGGATTCTCCCGTAGAGTCTTTAGAATGAATGCAGCCCTGCTGACACCTGGACTTTACCACTTCTGATCTTCTGAACTGTAACGTGATAAGTCTGTGCTGTCTTTAAGCCATTAAATTTGTGGTAATTTGTTCCAGCAGCAAGAGACTAGAAAACTAGCCATGGGGAACACAGAGGGAAGACTGTCCCAGAGCAAAGTGTGAAGGCCCTGAGCCTGGACTGAGGAGGCCAGTGTGGCTAGAGCAGGGTAAGCAAGAGGGGGTGTGGGAGGATGGGAGGTCAGAAATCAGGGGGGTTCAGATTGTGCCATATGAGGCAGGCTTGGCGAGGTGTTTGGACAATGGGAAGCATGTGAGAGCACTGAGCAATTCTGGTGCTTCCGAGGCCTAAAAGTCAGAGGTATTCTCCAAAGAGGACATACAAACCATCCAAAGATGCTCAACATCATTAGTCATTAGGAAATGCAAATCAAAATGAGATACCACTTCACACCTGCTCAGATGGCTGGACTCAAAAGGTAACAATTAGTACTGGACAGGATGTGGAAAAATCAGAACCCTCATATACTGCTGATAGGCACGCAAAATGGTGCAGCCACTTTGGAAATAGTGTGGCAGTTCCTCAAAATGTTAAATATAGAATTGCCATATGACTCAGTGATTCCACTCCTAAGCATCTACCCAACGGAAATGAAAACATGCATTCATACAAAAACCTGTACACAACTGTGTGCAGAAGCACTACTGAAAACAGCTGAAAAGTGTGAAGCACCAAATACCCATCAACTGACGAATGGATAAGTAAAATGTGGCACAACCACACTATGAAATATTATTCAGTAATAAAAAGAAATTAAGCACTGACACATGCTACAACATGGATGAGTCTTGAACACAAGCTAAACACAAGAAGTCACTCACAAAGGACCACAAAGTCACCATCATTCCATGTCTATGAAATGTCCAGAATAGGTAATGCCTAAAGCTGGAGAAAAGGAGAGGTGTGTGTGCAAGAGTTGGGTGTGACAGTTAAGGGACACAGAGTTTCTTTAGGGGA